GCAAATGGACAGATCGCGCACAACATCCACACTGATAGACAGTATTCAGAAAGAGAGAGAGAGACGAGGGGAGGAGTAGATCTTGCGAGAACTTCCGAGCAAAACAAAATGGCGACCCGCGTAGTTCGGCTCGATTTGAAAAGTGAAATAGCCATAGCATCTTTGTAGATGATTAAATTAGCTTACTTTTGTGCTAAAGTAATTTTTTCTTTGCTTTTATCCATTTAATCATCCACACCGATAGAAAGTATTCCGAAATTAGGAAAAACAGGTCTTGTTTCACACTGGGTGAGAATAGCCAACGGTGGCAAGTCTCACCCGCGGTGAGAGGTCGATCGTATTTTTATTCTCACCCCGGGTGAGGATAGCCACTTCCTTCACATCATAGAACAGACAAACCTCTTCTAACTGACAGATTTAAAAAAGAATGTGATACTAAGTAAGTGTACGTAGATCGGCTTCGAAAGTTATCACAGTAGGCTACTCTACGTAAGTTATTAAGATGGGAGTCTGCTATAGACAGGATCTTCTCAGTCTCTCTTCTGTATTAAATCTAGATATCTAGCTAGGTAGTTCTTTTGTCTATCATTTTTCCTTTCTTATAGATCTAATATCGAAGTGGCTAGATCTAGCCGTGTCTTAAGTGTAGGCTAAGGCTAGCCTGAGAGTCTAGCCGTACTTAAGACATGCGATTAAACGTAGAAAGACGCAAACTATTTTTAGGTACGCCCATCTTGTTTGACGTCAGACCAGGATACCCCTCCGATAACGTGACTACATCTAAGTATAGTCAACTTCATGGCACCAAAGATGGAAGTGTCTATAGTCTATGTATATCATGCTTGCTAAAATGATTACAGTGGAGTCCACTTATAACGAGTTCTAAAATAACGAGAAGTCTGTTATAAAGACAGGACACTGTTCTAAAACCCCGTTTTTTACCCTTCTTTATCTTTGTAAATAATGCTATAGAGCAATCAGACAAACAAGCAAGTCGGTAAAAGCGGAATATTGCTGCTGCTGTGCACAGTGAGGCCAATTGTCATTATAATGTAAAACCTCGCCAGTTGAGAAACACTTGCTGATGATCTAGCGAAACAAAGAATGGGAGAACCAACGTGTGCCTTTAATGAAGGCCGGAGCGAATGAGTGAGGAGGTTATGGCATGATGATAGGCCAGCCTTGTCTAGATTATCTAGGCCTACCATGCCTCTCACTTCTCCAATGCAGGAATGGAGAGGTCACGGTGCTGTAATGGGATGGAGCGAATGTGCGACGTTCGCAAGCAGACGTGCACAGGATGCGGTGGGGTGGGGGACAACACAGCTGACGAGTTAGCCCCTAGAGACCTTTCTCTCTGATCGCCAACACCGAGCTAGTATACTAGAGAAAGAAACCTGATTCATTTTTGATTAAATAAAAGACCTGTCGCGCTGAACAAAATCATCATCTGGGGAGATTACGAAAAGAAATAAACAGAATACCAGAACCATAGATTAGGCCTACATTATTTTTTCCCTTCAATTTGTTACAGGATCCCTTACAACGAGAATCCTGCTATAACGGACATTTCGCACCGCTCCCCTCCCTCTCGCTATACAGGATTCCACTGTATCTAGTTTGTGCTTGCTGTCATTCTTACGATACAGTTAGTAATTTTACTTTTTGTTGATGAAAATGAACTCACACAGATAATTTGATGCTCATCGTTTTAGCTGCCCTGTAAATTGTTTAACCTGTTGTCCCGTTTCGTCCTTGACAATTAAGGCTGGTAGTCATTGATATGGTGGTAATGATTTGATAAGTATAAAAGCAAATACTGTGCAAGACTTTCATTCATTCGTTCTATAATAATGCAACAGGTAATGACTTCATGTGTCTGATTTTCATCCCACATTGCTCCTAACAAATTAGTACTATAAAATGATATTGCCCACTATTATTCACTAGACTATTTTTTACTTGTCCTCATGAATTATTGTTTCACTTGGTAATTTTTTAGCACTGTTTTACCTGCCGATTTAAATGTTTCAAGAATATTAATAATGTGTATTTTAATGACTCCTCAGGAATCACCGGAACTCAGTGTTATGTGAGTGGCATGTTTATCAACGCAGTAATTTATATCTGTGTGAACAGGAGTTGTTTTTGTGGACTTACTTGAAAATGTGCCCTTCATACTGTTGGAATGGATGAGAAGCAAATCAATGAGCTTCTGGAATGTTCTGTTTGTCTGGAGCGCCTAGATCAAACTTGCAAGGTGCTGCCGTGCCAACATACCTTCTGTCGCAGGTGCCTCGAGGAAATCCTTCTAACCAATCGGGAACTATGTTGTCCCGAGTGTCGAGCAGTGGTGACTGTACGTGTGGCAGATCTTCCCACCAACATTTTAGTGGTTCGGATTTTAGAGGGGCTCAAGACAAAGAACCAACGTATTGGCGGAGGTGGGGTCAGGCTTCAGGGTCCAGGCAGTTTGAGTTCAAGTCCTTCTAAAATGGGCCGGTCAAGCCCTCTTCACCGTCTGGATGCACAGTCCATACAATTGCTGAGACAGGTAACAAAATGTTTATGCTCAGGTTGTGAACTTGCAATGCATATTGTTACTTTAGTACTTAAATGTGTTAATTAAAAGTATGGTTGTAATATATAATGTGTTGGTACTGGTATAAAATGGCAATTTAATGTTTGTTTCAACTGTCTTTGCTTTGCATCATTTTTTGCTCCCAACAAGTATTTCTTAATGTTTAATACAGTTCAGTCTTATTTCTTTGAAAACATCGTCATATTAAGCCCTGTTTGATTTAAACTTTTCCTTGGATCAAATTACTGGTAAGATTGATCATTTTTAGACATGTCTGTATTAAGATTATGTTGATACTTAAAAATGTTTCTTATCAGTCTGATTTACTTCGCTTTTTATTGTGTAACTTTTTATGTCATGTTATGTTGAAATGCACGTGTGCTCATGAGTTGTCTTTTTCTCCTTGACAGGGCTCTCAGCCATGTGCAAAAGCTCTGTACAACTATGAGTCTTCGGAAAAAGAGTGAGTAGACTTCAAACTCCTACATGGAGCTTCCTTCCCCTTTTTCTCTAGTTCTCTTTATATGTCTCTCTCCTTCTCCCCCCCCCCCTCTCTCTCTCTCTCTCTCTCTCTCTCTCTCTCTCTCTCTCTCTCTCTCTCTCTCTCTCTAACTCTCTCTCTAACTCTCTCTTTCTCTCTCTCTCCCTCCCTTCCTCTGACCTGCCCCCTCCCCTTCCCCTCTTCCTCCCTCTCTCCTTCCCTCTCTCTTTAGGACTTTTAGTTTCAATTAAGTTTTCTACCTTAAAAAGAAATGTACTCTGTTGAGTAGAAAGATGAGTTCATCTTTCTACTGACTGTGTCTTTCTTTCGTAGCTCTAATTGGCACAAGAAGCAAGAGGAATCAAAACAGCCTGAACCAAGACCAACTGAATGGTCTGATTTGTGGCAATAGGGTCGCAAGGTCATTATGATGCAATGAATTCCAACTGCAGTTGAACCTGCTCTAAGGACCACCTGTGCAAGACAATCATCAGTACAAAAAAAAAACAACCTCCGCTATCCACCTTTTCTTGCTTTTTTTTACTCTATAATATAATGACAATATCCAAGAGGACCTTCTGTCTGTGATGACCACTTTTCTTCTCGACAATGGCTGGTAGTCTCGGGCAGGTTTGACTGCATTTTGATACAGTGTCTTCTTTGTCAGCAAGTGTTTGACCACTCTTCATTTTATAATGTGTTGGCAGAAAGATTTAGTAATTATTTACTATCATGTGTGCAGATGAATTAAGAGTGTTTCATTCATCCAGTGCCAGATCTGCGACTGACATCGGCGATCATGGTTCTCTATTCATTCCTTTGCTCGGATGCTCTTAAAAAAGCTACGTTTCCCTGATCTTTCCCCGTTACCCACAGAATATATTTGTGATTGTGCTGATTCTTTCATCTCAGTGACTTGATATTCAAGAGAGGTGACTTGATCCTGCTGCGACGTCAGGTTGATGAGAACTGGTTTCAAGGAGAACTCTGTGGGAAAGTTGGGTTTTTCCCAGCGAACTTTGTCCAGGTTAGATTAATTTAGAATTTTTAAATATTACAACTGGGAAATACTCTTGCCAGTTTGTTTTGATTAAGTTTTCCATCAATCCAATTTTTAATCCTGTACTCTGTGCTTTTAGGTACTCTATCGGTAAAGTATTGTGATTCTTTCTTATGGAATGATGATATAATACACTTCACAATGAGTGCAACCGCTTAATGGTGCTGGCATATATAGAAGTTCATTGTACGTTTATTTGTAGATCTTCTATCAGGATTAATGTAAAGATTTGTTTCTTAGAATTATTTCTTTTTCCTGATGAGAATGCTATTTATATGAGCTTTTACTAGTTTTAGAGATATTAATGATAATAATAGATGCTGCTTTTATATAGTGCTTTAACACATACAAGAATGGGCTCTGAATGCTCAAATAGATGAAATGACCTCAAAAGGATAAAAATTCTTTATGACCTCAAAAGGATAAAAATTCTTTAAGTTGTTTCAGAACAAAAATGTTCTTCGGATGTAGTTTTTGTGAACTTTTCTTTTTGATTTAAATTTGCTTTGAGCTTTTTACTTTTTGCATAGACTCACAAGTAGAATCCCTATGTGGCTTCCTATCAGAAGTTTGTTTTGGTTTATAGACCATGTTTCGTATGTCACATTATGGTCCTTCAATATTTGTTTTCTCCCTGCTCAGGTGCTGGTTCCATTACCGCAAGTTCCGCAGTGTCGTGCCCTCTATGACTTTGACTTGAAAGATGAAAATGAAAAGGATTGTTTATCCTTTAAAAAGGTATAGTTAATGTTACAGACCTTGAGTTGGATAAAGCCCCATGTCCTCATCTTATGTAATAAGTAAGTAATAGTGCACCAGTTACTAAATCTTTCAAAATGTCATTATGGTAAGGGTTTACGTTTAGTTTCGAACTATTGCTGCAAATAAGTTGAGAGTATAAAGAGTGTATAATATGCAGCAGTTTATTTTCCACTTTTTTTTGTTGATGTGAGCTGTTATTAACTTTTAATGTGACAAAGAGATTTTAACTAAGATGTTTGAACTACTGTGGGACTGCTGTTTCTCAAATCAATATTCATGTTTTTGTAGGATGAAGTCCTGACAGTCATTCGCAGAGTGGACGAGAACTGGTTAGAAGGAAGAAAGGGTGATAAAATTGGAATCTTTCCCTTAACCTTTGTCGAGGTAAGCTTTTTTGAAATTCGATCATTGAACTGATTTTCCTTCCAAAGGCTGTTTTAAGAAATCTTAATTTTTGTAATTTAGCCTGTTCAAATAAATGAAACCAAGCATGATATCTTATTTGCATATTGAGATAAGTATGCATTGTATTTTATCCTGCTTGGTAGTACAGTAATCTCTGCCTAAGATCCCACCGCTCTTGATCCCGGTTCGCTTAAGATCCCGCTGTTTTAACTCTAGTCCTGCTAGGTTAACCGGAAGAGGGCTCTTATCGATCGATGACCCACTTACGTCGCCTGCGAGCTTGTGCCACGGGGCGCCGGGGTCAGACACTGGTCACGCGAGCGTGCCGCGGCAGGTCAGGGAAACACCTCATCTTTTACAGCAAACTGATACGATCAATGAATAAGTGTTACGATCACACGAATAATCCCATTATCTCCTCGTCGGTTGATCAGAGACGCTGAGATTGGAAGTTACACCAAATCAAATACCTTTTCCAGAGTTTTCCAGATTTCACACCTATTATGAATGAACTTGCGAACAGCTGCTTATCAGCTATCGTTCGAAAGAGGGAAAAAATGGGATAATTTCCTAATATTTTTTTTATTCAGTTGCTCTCAAATTTCTCCCTCTGGTAGGACTATGGTTAAAAAACCACCAAATATGATTATTTACATCAGGAAACAACGTTTTGTGTAAGAATTAGATCGTTAGAAAAGTGAGGAAAGGTGTTTGCATTGAAAGATGAAAGTCCTATTTCCTGAATATCCTTTCGAGTCCCTCAAGTGTCTAACTGGGTCAAAATGCTCATATTTCATTGGATGAACGTCTCAACCGACGCTCTGTTATCTCTACCAACGCCTTGTGTTGCAAAACAATGCAGTAGATTCCAGATGGACACACAGGCGCAAGCAGATTGACGCTCACACATTTTAGCACACAGATGCAGACCTGGCACTAAACGAAATGCGTTGCCCGCGCGGGACGACGACTGATCAGGGACTAGCTGTGGAGCGCCGCACGGGATTGCGCTTATAGGGCAAACATTTATCAGGGACCAGAATCTTAAGGGTTAAGAAAACAGAATTTTTATTATACAAAAGTCACCCATAAGATCCCGCTCTGACTCACTCTGAAGGTCTACATTCGGCTAAGATCCCGCTTTTGAGATAATAATTTCCGGAACAAAAACCCGGGCGGGACAGCTGATCAACCAAGAGTGAAAAGTTTAGATCAATAAACTGTCCGTCGCGTCAAAGATCAGCCACTATCGTGAATGTGATCACATACACGTTGTAAAACTCGATGAAGCGATACAATGTTTGCCTCAGACCGGATCACACCGGGGTGTGAACTGATCAACACGTTTGTTTTCCCCACCCATCGCACTCACACCTGAGCTCTCCCCCTAAACTTACATCACTCGCTGGGTGGGCAGGGCCTACACGTTGGCTCCAGGCGGGATCACATTGAACTGTGAACTCTTCCCTGACCATTGCAGAAGTTGTCTCTGCTCCTGAATTTGCGAGACAGACTGAATTTTAATTGGTGTGTTCACAACGTAATGGTGTGTAACGACAAAGGCGGTTGGGGGGGGGGGGACAGGCAAGGGGGAGGGGCAACTGGATTCGCGTAGATCTTGAGACTCATGATAGGATAAAAAGTGAAAATGGCCTGCCTCATCCCACTATGCACTGTGATAGTTCACCAAGGTTAACCACTCTTTTCTCGCCTTACGTCATAAACCCACCAAGCAGTCATGTCAGTTCATTTTAGAGTGGAGGGAGACCATAGTACCTATTGTGAGCCTTAGCATGGATCACCATAGATTTTTCCCTTGGTTCGTCGGTTAAGATCCCGGTTCGCCTAAGATCCCGCATTTCCTTGCTCCCGAGCACGGGGATCTTAGGCGGAGACTACTGTATTTTAATAGTGTGTATAACATTTGAATAATAAATGATCAATCAGTTAAAGGTAAAGCAGTCTTGAGAAGGAAAAACCAATTCCATCATTATAGTATGATACATTATGTTTCATTTTGTTTTTAAAAAAATGTATTTTAGTGGACTTCTTTAATGAGATGATGTACTTTCTTTGTGAATTTTCAAGTTCGTATAAGACTCCAGGTTTTGGAGTTATAAATTTTATAAATTTTAAGGCTCAAGCTTCGCCAAACTTCCTTTGAAAGAGATTCACCTTGCAATTTTCTTTGAATTGTATATCACTTGGTCCTGACCTATAACATTTCATTTGATTGTGCTGTAACTTGTTTTCATGCTTTCTTTGTATGCCCATGGTGAATGATAACTCCTAAAATTTTCAGATGTTTGGATGCTTTGAAAAATATGTTTTATATAAAATATATGTGGTAACTCTTAAAATTCTGTTCTGTTTTAAGGACATGTTGTTGAAATTTTTGTTTTAAGTGAAGAGATGCATGAAATTGTTTGTGAAGAACAGTGTTGAAATAATTCTCTGCAATATTTCAGCTCAACGATTCGGCTCGCAGCTTGATCAACTCCAAGTCAAATCTAAGTATACTCCCATCCTCATGGCCGTCATCGTCAACTTCAAATGTAAATTCCTCATCATCATCAGTAGGAGCAGTAACAGCTTCATCCTTAACATCTTCATCTTCATTGTCACCGCCATTGCCGCCGCCAACATCATCATCATCACTATCAGCTCCGGCAACAAGTACCAGTACCAGCTCACCGAGTCCTGCCGTTCCTGTGTCCAGTATAGGGGTAGCATCGGTCAGCTCCTCATCTTCGCTGACCGCCACTCAAGCATTACCTCAGCCCATTGCTCAAACTTCAGCTTTGTCGCCAGCGGTGTCAGCGACCTCCAGCTCCCCGCCACAGAACAAGCGCCACTCGTTCACCTCTCCTTCATCGACAGCTGTGACAGAGCCCGGTGGACAGTCGCAACGCCATTCCGCGGAAGTGACTGTGGATTCGGGGGGTCAGTTGTCGGTGACTTCGTCACCTCCGACATCCGTGTCCCCACCTGCAGCCTCGGAGACACAAAGCAGCTCCACGGATGCCCCTGCGGCCATGGTGAGGGCTGATAGAATTTCTTTTGTTTGTTAGACTCTGATGGTTATTTAAAGTCTATTTTGACGGTCTGACCCAGTTTTACAGTCGAACTTGAGAAGTTGCGAGCACTTGTGAAATCAGGCACTTGTAATTTTTGGGACATGCGGAGTTATTTGTGTCATCTTAAAGCCTGTCCATTTGATGAAAAAAATATCCATTTATCTTGGATACAAGTCAAGATATTGGTGATTGAAGGAGGTCGGGGTCGCTTTGTTTCAGAGGTAAAATTAGCAAGAAAATGGCAGCCAAAGTTGAATTATTTCCGTAGCTTGAGAGTCCGTATATATCTTTTACGCCTTAAATCAACCTTTTATCAGTAAAATCCACACAGAAATATGTTCTTTAAAGCCCATGAAAGATGTTGAGTCAAAAAATGAAAATTTGATAACAATTCCCAAACCTGTGGAAAAATGCTAGTATCTTGACTTTCATTATTTTGACGAGCGCCTGATTTCACCATGCTGCCTCACATATACTGTGTGATGGTGTGTCCATTCCATTCACCTCACTCAAAGGTTTCGGGGAATGCACATATAATAAACATTCTGGGTTCAATCCCCCTCACAATTTACAGAATCACTGTGGTGGCTGGGCAAAATTGAGTCAAAAGTTGTGGTCCGTATCACTTCCATTTGCCACTACATCCATGTCCTAATGGCTTGACATGTTTTTTTTTTGCTTTGTTGTTGTCATTCTGATGATAAATGGTTCATTTGTGAACTTGGTATATTGAAAAGAAAATTTTGGAGGTCTGTTTTGTTTATGGATGTGTTTCTTTGTTTTTTCACTCTTATATTAATTCGGTTCAGCTCAGTGGCAAAGAGGCTTTTGCAAAGTGTCTCTTTATTATCATATTGAAATCCTTTTTTTTTAAAATTTCAACTTTGATTCTATGTATTTGTGTTTACATGTGTTTTTGCCATTCATGTACAGCCACAGAAAAATTCTTACACGGACAATTAAGTATAATCTTACCTTATCACGTCTAACAATGTTCCACTCATGCTGTTTCTTTCCAGTCTTCCCAAGCCCACGGTGTGGAGAGTTCAGAGGCTGTGGCCTCCACCTCTACCTCTGCGGCCGGAGTACAGTCCGGCTCCTTGACAACTCCTGTGTGAGTACACAAGACTTTCTAGCACATTGGAATCTGCTTAACACTTTTCCCCCACGCAGCGCGCTCGCACAACACTTCTCCCCATGGACCAGGATAAAGGTCCGGTGCATGCTATATATCGCACCGTCGCCGATCGGCATCCCGTGGGGGTATAGTGTTAAATCAAAATCTACCTGACCACCAGGTATGTGTAAACAGGTAGCTCAGAAGAGATAAAAATCAGGGATTATATTTTCTTTTGGTTTGCCACTTATTTTTGAATTAGCTCCTTATCTCCGAAATGCCGCTCCTAGTGGTTCACAGTCAGAACTGCTGCGGATTGGACACATTTCTTCTTTACATGGACTCCGGAGTCAAATTAGTTTTCATCAATTATCGAAAGCGGGTTTATTTTACCTGGAGCTCTTTCATTAGATGGAGAACTATCAAAATAGGCTTACGTTTTTTTTATTGAATGACCAATATAGTGACGTTTATGTCAATTTTAGATTTTGTACTAAAAGAGGGCTCTAGCATTGTGGGTTTACCCCCCACCTTGGAGATAAAGAGGTAAACGTGTGTGGTTGAAGCGGACTTAAATGTGTTTTCACTCAATAAGCCTGTTGTTAAAGATGGATTTCAGTTGAACGCGTCCATAACGGTCATGCAAGACCACAGAGAAATGACCTTACAAACAGATGGCAGTTTTGGACAGAGTCTGAGTTATGGTCACTTACTAGGCTTGACAAATTCAATAGATCCGAAGCCTTGGTTTTATCTTGCCTTTTCATTTCCATAAAAATTGTCTATTATAAAAGCTTCTTTGAATTGATTGAATGTACACTCTCAGTCAGTGGATGGGCTAGCAGAAATCTTGCAGCAAGTGGATGCTATGAGCAGGTTTTGAGCATGACTTGTTGAGTTGGACACAGACAGCTATAGAAGGGTTAAAATAACGGAAAAACGTAAGGGTGTCATGAAACTGTCCGATATTACAAGTGACCACAATGGAAAGGTGACCGCCTAGGTAGATTTGGCTGTATAGAAGAAAATTGTGAATGGAAACGATGTTCTACAAGTAACCGGTTTGGGCTTTTAAAGAGTTGATTTTCTACTAATTTGGGAACACTGAATTAGAAAATGGTACTTGTGTTTGATGTTTTGGTCTAATTTTTTAAGATATTATTATAGCTTGAGGTTGATTTTCCTCTTTTCATATTTGTAAAAAAAGTAAGGCTGTTTTATACTGTTTGCTGACAACTTTGATACCGTCAAAGGCTAGTAATGCAAGGAAGAATTTTTGTAGAAACCAAAAGCAGAAACCACCCCTAGAGGTGGAGGGCCCCATAGTTTTACTATGGGGGAGGGGAGAAAAGAATACACTTGCCGTAATACTGCGTGTCGTAAGAGGCGACTAAAAGTGCAAAGGTCTGGCCGCCCGAAAAGTGCCAGTTTGCCGAGGGCCAACTACCCAACCCAGTAAAAAACAGTAAGTTACAGAAACACGGACAAACACAGCTTTTTATTTTTCAATCTTGGGAGACGGAGGAGCTTCCGCATCAGCAGGAACCGTTAAGGACAGCAGACAAAGCTGGAAGGACTCTTCTGACCCGAAATCTTCTCTGTCGAACAAGTCTCTCCGGATTGCGTCGTGGAATGTTCGCACCTTGTATGAAGCAGGAAAGAGTTCTCAAGTAGTACAAGAGATGAAGAGATACAGGCTGCACATACTAGGAGTCAGCGAAACACACTGGACAGTCTGGACAGAAGCAGCTCAGCTTGGGGGAACAAGTGTTGTATTGCGGGAGGGAAGACAAGTACCATGCGGAAGGAGTGGGAAAACCGCGTGGAACCTGGAGAAGAATCACAGAAATCGATGTACAGAAAAGTGGGAAGACATGGAATAACATCAAGAGGCTAGCCCAGGATAGAGAAAGGTGACAGGTGTTTGTCCGTGGCCTGTACCCTAGTGCAGGGTGAGAAAGGCAATGATGATGATGAAAAGCAGAAACATTGAAAAATGTGTAAAATTCTAGTAGTTGGTTTCTTTACCCATAAATTGCCTTCAGTGATTCAGGAACCATTTTTATGGTCAGCCTGGTTTGGTCAATGTGATGCAGTAATATGGAAAGTGAAACTGCCTCTTGGCTCTCTGTGCGATGAACTATCACTATGTCATACAAATTAAATGCAGCATCAAGGATTCCAGGTAAAAAGATACAAATCATTATTGCCGGAGTGAGGAAGAGACATGAAATTTAGAATTTTTTTCTGAATGTCTCTTAACGATCACAAATGATACAGGACACTGATGTAGTGCGTTGACGGCCAGCACCTGTTTTTGTAAAATGTTGTATGTGTCTATTTGTTTTGTACATTTACTAGTAGGCAGGTACTCTGATGTAGTTTGCTCTTTCTTGTCCATCAAACCTCTGTCATCCTTATCTGTCCTCCTCCTTCTCTGAGTTTGTAACTCTCTTGTAACACCTCTAATCTTCGGCACTTATATGACCTAATTTTGTTGCAAATGTCGTAAGGCACTTCCTAAAGTACATTTATTTCAACCATTTTTTTTAACCCCTCTCTTTGCAGATATACTGCTCTTTATAACTACAAACCTCAGAAAGAGGATGAGCTGGAACTTCACAAGGGAGATCACTACACAGTGTCTGAAAAGTGCCAAGATGGTTGGTTCAAAGGTGCTTCTGTTCGCTCGGGGCAGGCTGGGGTCTTCCCCGGCAACTATGTCCACATGGTTCGGTGAGTTCATTTCTGCCTTCTGTTGCTTAACCTGCCCTCTGCTCTTCCCCCTTAGTTGACCAGATTATGGCCCTTTACCTGGATTCCTGAAAATGTCTCATAGTAACCACATTTTGAAGTTTTCTGTTGTTGGTAGCGCTTTGTGTTTTCTGTGAATTTTGCTTGGAATTTAGGGCTGGGTCACGAGCGCGAGAACGGAACTGAATCGTCACTCTTTCCTGCGGAACGCGGTTCACGATTCACTTCAGCGGAACGCGGAACAGTATCGCCAAACGATTCCCGATTCACTCCCCTGTCGCTGTCACCACCTTGTGGCTTGTTTAACCTACTGCTGAGTCGAGTCACGAGCGCAAGAACGGAACGGAACACTTAGTATGGCTCCCCTTATTTTACAAAAGATGGTATAGTCCAACCCCCCTATTAAAACAAAATGAACGGGGTCCAACCAATAGACAGAAGGAATTTTATGGAGCCATTGTTTTAGCGAATGGTGGGGTTTGGGGGGGGGGGGGGATTTATGGGGGTCACTAATTGAGGTCAGTTGATAGAGCAGCGCAACAAAGGGTGTGGGGCGGAGAGGATGGCGGAACATCAAGAGTGGGACTCGCGCTCGCCTTGTGGCGTAGTTATAATACTGTTCCGTTGACATGACACTGTTCCGTTTCAGTCAGTGTTCCACCACAGTTCCGCGAGCGCTCGCGTACTCGCGATTCTTTGAAGCCGACTGAATCGCGAATCGCCACTCTCAAATTTGACGAGCAGGATCCAGCCCTATTGGAATTCTCTTTTTAAAAAGCCTTGTACCATGTCCAGTTTTTATAGTTTTCCTTTTTCCAGGTTATTTTTCTTTGTCTTCCCTGCTTTCTCTTTATGTTACAGTAATCATGAATTGTAAGAGATAGAGCCATAAAGAGGCCGGTTGTTAAATTGGACCTTAAGGATTTGGAATCTTCTTCGATCTGTTAGTAAGGTGTAAGATTCACTGTATTGCTAGATCGTTATGCACTAGGAAGAGATGTATAACTTTGGGTGCTCTGTTAGCTCAGTTGATATCATGCTGGACTAAGGAGCAGATGGCCTTGGTTTGAATCCGAGGCTGGGCATTCTTGAACTGAGGTCATTTTGTGAAGTTTTCAAGGCTCCTGAACTATTTGGCTCAGTCCTTTTCGAATTGGACGTATTTAAATTCTTGAATAATTTTATAGTGTTGATAGGGGAGTTAAATGAGTACACTTACTTACTATGTAAAACTTTGCTGTTCACTGTGTGTGTGGCTGTTTGGTTTTTCATATTTTTACCTCCACCAAAACATGTTTATTTGGAAAAGTAGTAACACTATCTCTGCAATATCCTATGCCATACTGAAGGCTCTCGAAAAATGTCGTCCCGGACAACCATTTTGTGAGTGTCCTTGATTTGACAATCTTGAAATTTAAGTGGACATTGCCTACACTTCCCCGAAACCTGTCCCGCTTGATGTAATTTTTTTTTTTCATTGTTACATAATATGGTGTCACAATGTTGGGTGTTGTTGGCTGAGTTTTAAAAGATTAGCAAGCCTGTATCGGAATCTTTTACCATATTTTTTTTCCGATGAAAGTTTACGGTGATCCTTTAACACAGCTTTTGCAACAATGCAAAATATTCCCTATAAGTTCAATGAACATTTTCTTTTTATTCATGCTCTAGACACTCAAGTGCCTTCAAGCCTGTGAACCCAAACGTGCTCAATATTCGCGCCAAAGGGCCCAGCCCAGCTCTAGCTTCTAGTGCTGCCAGTGCAGAACAAAAACCATCCTCCGCATCAGTGGAAGCAGCCGGTAGTCAGCAGGCAGCTCCACCTCTCATGCCCAGAGTGGCCAGGATGACCTCATCAGGTGAGAAAGCTATTTGCTACAACCACTTGAATTTTCGACATTTTTTTGGGGGGGTCATTTTCTGTTGAGAGCTTTACAGCTTGCTAGTTTGTCTTCTGGGGCCAGTTCCTTGGACTTTTTCTTAATGTCGTTATTTTCCTGACATTATTTTTGTGCTAACCCTGCAATAATATTTAGAGTTAGAATGTTTGAATGAGGACGTTTGTTTGCATAAGAATGTACATTTGAATCGGCCGGGGCATGAACATGATTATGGAGTTTCTGTCCAGAGGGGAGAGGTTTTTTTTAAAATTTAATATATTTCAAATTGTAGTAATACATTTGTTCTTACCAGGAAAGTGATGCAAATAATTCTGTTACAAATAAGTTTCGTCTTGTAGATTATATAATGTGGCTTGACTATTATTCAACGTATATCTCTCAAATATCATTGACATTGATGGTCAACGTGCTCGGTTCCCCAGGTCAAAAGTCCCGGTCAGGCTGTTGCCAGTCCAGTGCCAGCCCCACCCGCTGTCCTAACCATGGGCTCAGTGGGTCCCCAGCACACCGCCACCAGTCCTCCTCTTCTCCTTGCTCCTTCTCCACCGCCGCACCGCCTGTCCCCGGCCACCCCAACTCCTCGCGGCCTCTCCCGAGCACGGTGGTCCCAGCCCCTCCGGCGGGTAGCTGTGCGGGTTCTCCGCACCGCTCGGCGTGGGTGTCGCCGGCCCATCTGTCTGCCTCGGCACACATCACACCGCCCAATGTCGCTCTGGCGCACTCGGTGGACACTGCAAGCACTTCTAGAGACAAGGTAAAGTACCATGTGCTCTCGTTTAGCTTCTTTTTTTTTTTTTGAATAAAAAAATTCCGAAAGAATTTAATGCCACCTGCAACACAAATAGGTCATTTAAGTGCCGAGGATTAGAGGTGTTACTACAGAGTAACATGCAAATATAAGAAACAGGAGAGATGAGGGCGAAAGTGGTTTGATAGGAAAAAAATCGAGCAAGCCACACGAGAGCACCCGTCAGCCACACATGTTCAGCTCTGTGTTTTCTTCAATAGCATGAGAAGTGGAAGAAAGAGCCAAAAGGTCATTCATATTTTACTCATGTCAAGTTCAAGGCAATTGTAGGGCATACTCATACTGTAGCATGGTCAAGACACAAAATTTAGTTGTGATTTCGGCAAGTGCCATCAAAAAGAGAAGTGATAAGATTATGATGTTATCATTTTGAGCAAGACTTTTAGGACACCTGAAATGAACCATAATTCTGTTTTTATTCCAGATTCATTTAAGTAGATCTAATCTTCAATCAATGCTTGAGAAGAGAAAAGTGTTTGTGGATGTAACATTTTTATCGTCATTTAATTTGTGGAAACCTAAACTTGACGGATGCTTTATTCTTTGTGACTGTAATGCTGAAAGTCTTTCAGAATTTACTTTTGAGTCTCAAGGAACAGGCACAACATGTCATAAGGAACTGGCAGGAAATGTCCAAAGTTTGCCTGTGTGTCAATGTGAAGGGTTTTCTCTCACTCTAGACCCAGGGGACACACGGAGGATACTGTAGAAGCACCTGCCCCAGTAGGGTTATCATATTACGGAAGTTTCTGCTGTTGAAAAAAGAAGTTTCGGTGAGAGTTTTATGGCACTTGGAGAACAATCAGGTCATTTAAGTGCTGAAGATAAGAGGTATTTCTATAGTGTAACACTAATACAAAAGAAGGAAGATTGATGTCGTGAGTGAAAAGCTTTGTTATTAATTGTCAAATCACACATTATGAATATTTATGGGTTTTTTATTTTAGCTTGTGACTCGTACCTTGAATGCAACCACATGTCTTCTGATGTTAATGTTTCCTTTTGCAGAAAGAGAAAAAGGAGAAAGGCGTCAAAGGTTTGGGCAAACTTTTGTCTGGGAAGAGCAAGAAGATGAAGCCGACACCTGCTGAGCCAGAAGCCACGCCCCCTCCTTCTGTTCTCTGCTTTGACAACGTGGCTCATGTCAGGTTAAGACAAATTGTTTGTTTTTTTAAATTGTGTTTGTGATGATGTAGACAGTTGTGAATGTGTATCACTTTTCTAGATGTTTTCCTAACTATGTTTTCACAGGACTCTCAATTTTGTTCCTGATTGTTTGGGGTTTTTTTTACAGTCAAACTAGGTATTCCATAAGCTTCAAAATAAAATGTATTTGGTGTGTGAACTTGAGCCCTTTAAATTATTACTTTTGGGTTTCTTTAACAGTCTACAGCAATAATCCACAAACGATCGAACAGTTGAAACTCAATGTTGAACAGGACGTCCAAAGAATCGACCCAAAAACACGCTCTAGCGTTATTACAAATTTCCAACAGCATATTGGAGCTTGTAGGGAGAGAAATGATCAATCCCTGGGGATTAAATTAGCCATCACCTCCCTGGGCTTATTTGGCAATATAATTTTTTTCATAAATTTGTTCTTCAATGCACAAATGGTGACATTTGAAATAGATCAGTAGGCCCTATGGTTGATTTGTAAGAAGTTGCAAAGTTTGCATTTCACTCAATTTTGGTGAAAGATTTTTAGAACTTTTCTCGAACATGGTGGTTGATTTGTTTCCTTTTGACAAATGTTATTTTTCCCCTAGTTGAATTTTATTTCTTCATTCAAAGTTTCATTAAAATTGATTTAAAATATAACCAAGTTATTGCCCTTTAAATGGGTTCTCTTATTTATTTTTTTAGACACACAGTATTTCTTGTGTCCTTCTGTATCGCTCCTCTGTGTCAGTGTGAAAAGAATGTCCCCTAAAGTTGATAAAAGTTTATTGAATGGCTTTTTACTTTGGCCCCTTTGCGAGTGGTTGTTGGAATGCTTTGATGTGGTTTGTTCCTTTTTTCCTATCGAATATATCTATCTTCATTATCTCTCTTTCTTCTTTTCTTTGTATGTTACTCTCCAGTAACACCTCTAATCTTGGGCACTTATATGACCTAATTGTGTTGCAAGTGCCATAAAACTCTTATTAAAACCAAAGCATCTATCATCATTGTCTCTCCTCCTTCTTTTCTGTGTATATTACTCTCTAGTAACACCTCTAATCTTTGGCACTTATATTACCTTATTGTGTTGCAAGTGCTGTAAAACTCTTGCTAAGTGGGTGGTTGGCGGGTACTCGGGTGTGGTTTGCCCCTTCTTTCCTATCAAACATTTATCATCCTGATCTTTCCTACTTCTTTTCTGTGTTTGTTACTCTGTTGTAACACTTCTAACCTTCGGCACTTATACGACCTTATTGTGTTGCACGTGCCATAAAACTCTTACTAAAACTAAAAACTCTTGCTTAAAATTAAACTTTGGCCCCTTTGATAACTCATTTGAGCATTGTAATTGTTTTTGGGACACAGGTCTGGTTCCTTCCCCGTAGACAGTTCTGCTCACGCAGCAGGAGATGCTGGCCCAGTCAGTGCTCACAGGAAAGCTGCATCCTTGGATGCCACACCAACCCCGCCCATCCCTGCCAAGCCACGGCCAAAACCACCGATGAGAGAAAGGTACGCTTTCTTTTCGAAAACACCGATTGAAGAAAATTTGAATAAAGCTGAAATAAAAAGACAGAATTATGAGTTTTGTTTTAGGTACCCTTTAAAGTCTTGTTAAAAATTGTAACGTCCTGTTCTCAAAATTTCTCTTCTGAATGTGACATGGGTTGTGAAATTTCTTGCAAATACCTTCAGAGCAAATTGCAGGCACTTTTCCCAAATCACAATTATATTTACCATTTTAGCCAAATACTTGTTTGTGTATGGTGCTAATATTTTGTTCCATTTTGTTTATGCCAAGCCGTTACAATGAAAGTACAAACAGATCAAAGTGCAAAACAACTCTTTATTTTCTTTTCCAGATTCTGTTGTATTGTACCATATCCACCACAGACCGAACACGAACTCAGTTTGGAGGTAGGGGACATTATTCACGTGCATCGTAAACGGGATGACGGCTGGTACAAAGGCACCCAAGAACGCACTGGCCGGACAGGCATGTTTCCTGCTAGTTTTGTGGAGAAGTGCGACTGACTTGTGGCAGTTTCCACCGACGAGGCCCAGTGGAGGCTTTATTTTCTTGATATTTCATGCGGGGACAGTAAGAGCAAAAGAACAATTACAATGTTCGATCGGTAACATAAGTGAAGACGAATGCCTGCGTGTTGATTCGTTTATTTATCCTTTCTGTGACGGCATTCTGTGACGGCAAGGCAGTCGTCATTTTGTGCCCAATCTGTGCCGGTGTGTCTGTGACAATAGAATGGGAAATGCTGTAGACGAGGAAAGAAGAGATAGTGTGATTCCCAACTGTTGGTTTGAGATTCTCGTACTATGCTCTTCAGTTTCCAAAATGTGCATGCTGAGGAAATGTAGCTGATGTTGTTGTGTGAATATGTTACTTGCCTCATTATATATACTGTAAAGTAAATGGCCTCTTAAGATAACAGCAGAAAGATGAACGGAGGGCTCTCAGAATTTGGTAACGGGGCAGGAAAGCGATGCAAATAGTGCTGCCATTGGTAAGTTTTGTCTTGTAGATTTTATAAAGTTTTCAAGCTATCTCCATGGTTACCTTTCATGTGTATAGAAAATTCGGCAAGCTATATCCATGATAACCCTTTTTGTCTATTGGGATTTTAAAATTTGTTCCTTGTCCCTTGACTTTCATTTATTAGGGTCGGAGGTGTTGGCAGCTTCAAATATTTGTTGTTTTGATTGTAAATCTGAATATGAAGAGACATTGGGATGTCTATGTTGTTAAGATGATGATGAAAGTGGAACAAAGAACACTCAGGACAAACTAACAAGATAGGGAATTACACAAAACCCCAGGGACTCAATATGACTAACTGTTACCAACATTAAAGTCCATTGCTCCTATAGGGGCCAAAGTGGAATCTCTGCACTCAAGGCATTGCATAATTTTGGTTGCACAGAATACTTCCTGGGCACCTTTCTTTGAATACCACAGATTATAAGTTCTTACTTTCTGTTCTTCGAAGTTTTTTTTTTTTGTGGCAATGCTACAACTTGTTGCCTTGGAGTCGGTTTCTTTAGCTTATTGCTACCTTAGAATTACAAAGTTCTGTCTGACATTTTTGGCCATTTTGTAATTCTAGTGTAGCGTTATGTTAGGTGACGAGTTGTTCCAATATTTTTTTTCTTGGAGAGTGGAAGGTGATACAAAAGCAAAAGCTCTTGCCTTCTGTACTCAAAGGCTAGTCCAGGATGGGAATGACTGTATATTTTCTTTACAACATTGGTTCACTGTGACTAAAATAGTGTTAATAAATGAGACGATTATTTTTATCGCTTAAACATCTAATGAGGGGGAAGGATTGGTGTTGTAAGTACAAGTACTTGAAGATTGTTAAAGATTGTTATCTAGATGAGAGTGAAAGGACGTTTTTCAATACTCCACCCTTTGTTTAGAATGATCTGACTTCACTTTTTTCAGAAACTACATCAATTGAATTATGTAGAGTGAAGGATAGCCTTTCTGACCATTGCCTCCCTTGGCTCTCACCATCCATATCTGCAGAGTGTGAGGGAAATATTTGGCTCTGAATTCCACCCTAATTTTTGTTGAGATGAGGCGAAATGAACAGCAAGTTACTCATATTCGAAATGTCTTTGGCAAAGCAAATGATCACCTGATTTAAAGCTGTCCAAAGTAGTGCAAGCTGTTGAGTTGAAACTTTTGCTGGTCGGTTTATTAAAAGACTAAATTCTTTTTTAGATGCCAACAAAGTTGTATGATGTCGGAATTAATGTAATTTTGAAATTTGCTATTTGAAAAGGTCAGGACTCTGTTTTCTCTCAAATTTGAAGAGATTATTATGAGGGTAGTCAGTGTTTAGAATTTGTGCATGTAAAACTTCAGTGTATAAATTACGGGTCTGGCTTGTTAGTGATATTATACGTCAAGCATACTGGCGGGACCATTCAGCCAAGGGATGAAAAGCTGAAGTCAAGCTTAGTTTAAAGCTTGGTTTTTTAAATCATTTTGGGTTGCTCTTGGTGTAGGGTGTTTTCTTTTCTTTTTTTATGCAATAAGAATAATATACAGCAACTTTCCATAAATACTGACTTGTTTTTTAGACTTATTTTTAGGAGGAGTAAAATTGTTTTAAAAATGTCCCTGATCGTGGCCGCTGTTTGAAATGTAGTAAATCAGTGAGGAACGTTACAGCAGAGAAAATCAAGATGATTGGTATTTTATATTGTGCATTTCAAAGTACCAGCAAATAAAAGGCACTCCAGTGTACTTACTAAATTTTCTCATTGTACAGGCAGTACTTTGTGAATGGCTTTTTATTTTCATTAAGACTTTGGTTCACTGTGCCTGTTATAGTGTTGACAAATGAGATGTTGTCCTTTTGCTGAAGCATATAATGAGAGGGAAATGAATTTTTATTTTTATTTTATTTTTTTTATTATTTTTTTTTTTGGGGGGGGGGTCTTTGCTTCATAAGTTATTTTTTTAAAAAGATGTACCTGGTCTTTTGACATTTGGTAGAATTAATCTGTATGTTATTCTTTTGACTTGCTTCATGTAGGTGAAGCCTACCGAAATTGAAAGGAAGGAGGCTTTTATCATGGGATTTTTTTTGTATTAGGGATGAACTGATTCGTTCTCTAAAGCTTGGGTAGTTGGAGGGTGCCACTGGTAGGTAGGTCCTACTTCTTTACTTTCCCTCTGTTGTTCTGTCTGTCTGTCTGTCTGTCTGTCTTACTTTTTCCCAGCACTAAATGACCATCATTGTGTCAGTGTGCTTCTCTTTACTCAAACAAACTCAAAGCTTAAAAGTGTGTCGTGGCAAGTTAAGTTTGCTTCTCTTTTACTTTCTTTCAGGCTTGAGTGAGGTCTGTTGTCACTGATATTAGTCATAAAACATAGCTTGTGAACAGAGCTTTCATTCCGTTACTAGTTTGAAAAGTCCAGTGGTCATAGGGCAGTGATCTAATCTATGTCATTTTTTTTCTTATCTCTCTACACACAAAAAAAACTTGTAAGGGGATGATAAACTTCCTTCTGCTTATATATATAAATATAAAAAAATATATAAATTACACTTTTTTTGTCCCAGAAGGGCACTTTGTTTTACAATGGCAAACATACATACATAAATACATAATTATAAATATGTACATACATAAATATATACATGCATAAATACATACATAAATACACACCATTACACAAATACATAACAGTTTACAAACAATGCCACTGTCGGTCGCCACTGTGCAGCGCCTTGTATTTTGAGCTAGGGTTGTCGTGTCTTGCTCAAGGACACACTCCAGTGACCACCCATCTGATCCCCGTGTCACCGACACTTGCTTGACATTGCTTGAGTCTTGAGTTATTGGTTGATAGCCATATATACTGATATGGTGTATTTGTGTGTGTGTGGGGGGGGGGGGGGGGGATTGTGATTTTGAGAAATTGGAGCATGATGACATATTCACGCGATTGACGTGAACTTATATATAGAATAAATAATTTTTTTAATGCATGGAGTGAACAATGTTTTTGAGCGAAAGCTCACAATGTCAGACCAGGCAAGTTCAAACTCTCGTCTGATCATTGTTGGTTGCAATTGAGAAGAATTATGAAATGCAAATAGTGTGTCTGTTGTTCTTGTTGTTATAGTATGACAATGCCTTGCACTTCCGAATTTTTGAATGACATGACAGAGTTATGGGAAAATTGTATAAATTGGCGCAAACGTAAAAACAATGTTTTTGTGAGGCAAATTGTTTTGTACCAGTAAATATACTAAAAAGGAACAAAGTGCAAAGGATGACAGTTTCAGAAGCGCTGAATTTGACACTCTCTCTCTGTGAGTGTCAGTTGACAAAACATAGAGCTGTTTCTTTGTGTTTTATACCAGTAAATATACTAAAAAGGAACAAAGTGCAAAGGATGACATTTTCAGAAGCGCTGAATTTGACACTCTCTCTCTCTGTGAGTGTCAGTTGACAAAACATAGAGCTGTTTCTCTTTGTGTTTTATACCAGTAAATATACTAAAAAGGAACAAAGTGCAAAGGATGACATTTTCAGAAGCGCTGAATTTGACACTCTCTCTCTGTGAGTGTCAGTTGACAAACCATAGAGCTGTTTCTTTGTGTTTTATACCAGTAAATATACTAAAAAGGAACAAAGTGCAAAGGATGACATTTTCAGAAGCGCTGAATTTGACACTCTCTCTCTGTGAGTGTAAGTTGACAAAACATAGAGCTGTTTCTCTTTGTGTTTTATGAAATTTGAAGAGGATGTTGAACTTTATTGGAAGTGCTTTCAGGTTGGACTGCCCATGTTGAGAGGACCAGTGAGTTTTATAGAATTTCAGGAATGCTAGCAGCTGTATTGCCAGTTTTCACATTTTTTTCTGAACGAAGGCACAGCAGGGAATGATTCATGTTTTTTTATTCTTAACAGCAATATTGTTTTTTGCCGCTTTTTCTTCCTGTGCTCCCAGTGTCGTTAAAGTCTTTTCATTGTTGATGTTCATTTCGATGTGTCCTATGTGTAAATATATGGGGCGATTTCTCAACAACGTTGTAATGTTAGGTATCATTTTAACAGTACCAGCAGTGATATTTTTTTAGTAGTGGTTAGGCTCTCGGACTCGCAACCGTAAGGTCGTGGGTTCGAATCCCGTCAAGGGCCCGACGTTGTGTCCTTGGGAAAGGCACTTTACACGAATTTTCCTCACTTCACCCAGGTGGGAATGGGTACCTGGCTATAGACAGCGAAAGATCTTATCAGTTTGTTAGTGTTTGAGCGCTTAATCGGCTGCTCGCACTGTATGCTTCCCGGGAAGCTGAGAATGTTTCGGAGAGTTCTATGGTCTGCTGGGGTAATAATATAGTGTAAAGCGCATAGAGCCTGCTGCTGAGCGGGGATATGCGCTATACAAATGCTATCTATTATTATTATTATTATTATTAGTAGTAGTAATTTAAAGGTTTTCTGTGAGAGGTGATAATGTTTTAAATCCTGAGGTCAGGAAAGTGGGAATAAATTTCTATTTGATTTTGATTACGTAAAAATAGTTTATATGATCAAGATATGTTCACAAAAATAATTGTCCCTATCTTAAAAAACTGCAAAAATAAATAACCCCATTCAAAAATAATCTCGGAGGAAATTCATATTCTTAACAGAGATGGACAATTTCAGTTGTATTATTTATAGATGATAAGATAACGGGACTTTATTTCCCAGTTATGTTTGATCCTCAATGTTTGAAAACCTGTATTGGTTTTACTATTGTCCTCTGCAAAGTACTCTGTATCTTTTTTTTTTTTCTTGTTTGCTCAAGCATCTGACTGTAATATAGTTGTAACTGACTTATGGGATATTCTGTGAAAAGTTGCTTTCTGAGTGAAATTGTTCAATGCATTTCTGCAAGAGGCTTAATGCTTTTTTTTTGCTTTTTTTTTTTTTTTCCGTTTATGCCTGTCCCCCGGTACAAGTGAGGCTTGTATTGTGTTTGTGTGAGTGTAAATACAAAACTGTACTGAAGGCTGGTATGTGATATTTTTCGCTTTTAACTTCAAGATCAAATTATTTCAATGTTGTTAGGGACTTCTTTTTTTTTTTTCTTTTTGCTGTTGGACCCATGTGCTGGGTTTTTTAAAAAATATTTATGATGTCATTGCATTTATGAATGGTTGAATTATTAAGTGTTCATAGCCATATTGTTTTCACTTCTGTCCCTTACATCAAGCTGTGATGTAGTTTTCTTAGGTTAGCAGGTTTCTTTTTCTCCCCCCCCCCCCCCCCACCACCACCCCAATTACCAGCTTGAATAAGAGTCTTTATTATGTTTCTGTGCATGGATTTGCTGTAAACTATTGATGTCGGGGTGAAAGCTTTCCAATACCTTGATTCAGATTTTTGGCTCTGGGTGCATATTGAGAAGTTGATGTTTAGAGACTGAGTGTGGGTGGTTGGCGGGTGCTCTGGTGTGATTTGCACTTTCTTTCCTATCAAACATCTGTCGTTCGTTCTTATCTCTCCTTCTTTTCTCTGTACGTTTCTTTCTAGTAATATCTCTAAGCTAAAAGGCTGAGTGCACAGGTTCTCTTGAGTACATGTTTGTGTTTAAAGCATGAAGACTGAGTGTTCGTTTTTTTTCATTTGTTTGTTGTTTGAAAAAAAATTAAGGTCTGTTTTGATGATAGTTTCTCGTTTGAAATGTAAATTTTTCCCTTTCTCTTTAGTTTTAGTTCTGAATAAATTGATTTTGTCTTGTTGAAAGCATCTGAGATACATTTGTGATCACTGTTGAATTTTAAAGGTACTTGCAACATCCTGCTTTCCTTGTTTCATTTTTTAAGGCAGTTGATGTTCTGAGCTCTCAGTCCTTGATGACTACTGCTTCTGTGGTCTCATGGGTGTATATGTTACTAATATTGGACCCCATCCCCATCCCCCAATCTATTATTTTTGCCTAATGTCTTGTTTTCAGCTCTCTGTTTGCCCGTGGGTGGTTGGCGGGTGCTCTGGTGTGGTTTGCTCCTTCTTTCTTAACAAACATTTATCATCCCTTATCTCCCCTTCATTTTTATGTTTGTTACGCTCTTGTAACACCTCTTATCTTAGGCACTTATATGACCTAATTGTGTTGCAAGTGCCTCAAAACTCTTACTAAAACTAAAAATGCTCTCTATGTGCCCATCGTGTACAATGCTTCTTCTCTTTATGTCGTTTAGAAGACTTGCCTCTCTTTTGAGAGTGAAAATGAGTCCAATAGAAGATGCCTATATCTTTCTCACTGGTGAAATGTCCCATTATTGTTGTCAATCTTTGCTTCTGTTTAAGCAGTTGTGAGAATTACATTTGTGACATCTTTTACAGATAAGATTTTGAGGAAAGATGGGATTGGATTTCATGTATATCTGGGGCACTTTGATGGGGATCTTTTCTGTCTGTCTGTCTGTCTGGGTTTTGTTTTGAAAATGCTTGGGAGAAGATGGCTGTTACTGTTTGGATGGCAACATCTTTTGTTTTGTGTTTTCCCTTGTATTTGCAGGGAAAAAAAGCCCAAAACAACTGAACCATATCCTTCTTATAGTGCAAAACGAAATGGCATCTTACTTTTAAGTGAGAGGGTTTTTTCCATTCAAGGGATAGGACAAAAGGGAGAGAGAGGGGGGAGAAGAAAAGAGATAGAGAGAGAGATAGAGACAGGCAGACAGACTGACATGGGAATTAGTCTACAAAAAGGTCACCGGGTGTGTTGTTTTTTGCTGGAGTAAATACACTTGAGTTGTCAAGAGTTACAAATTTAATAATAATAACAGTAATAATGGTTCGTCCATCGATGTCTGATGATGACCAATTTATTGGCAAAGGTAGATTATTTTTCAGATGAAATACAAGATTAAATAAGGATAAAGATGACTTGTAGCTTCTGCTATGGCCAT